ACTCCCCACCTGAATGCGGTGGCAATACAGGGGGCAAGAATTCCGGAGGCGGGGAAGGGCGCAGGTGGCTGGCACGGCCGGACCCGCACCTAGGCGTGCCACTACCCTCCCCAATCCCGAACTGTCAACTGACCAGGAAATTTGACCAATAATAACAATGCCCCAACAGGCGAAGCAGGCATGGGGACCTGAGCATCAATTAGTTTTTGGTGAAAATATAATTGTGTTGCAGGGGCCGCATTGTCTTCTCCTACAGTAGGTGGGCTAGCCCATGAAATGTCAACGGAAATTCTGAAATGCGTTTCCGTTTGGAAAAGATTAATTTAGTATGGTTGCAAAACCAATCATCGTGCAGCATAATTCTATAATAATTCAGTTACCCCAGAATGCCGGCTTTCGAACAAACTTCTTTTGGCCACATACAAAAAGCCATGCTCTATTAAAGTGGCTACTTAATTGGCATGCGTTTTTTCATTGATTTTCGATACCCTTACATATTCAATCACATTTCATGGAAAACATGCCAAAAACTATTGATTCTTTTGCTCATTCAGTAGAAAACTGCATCTTCTTCCAGTCTTTTACTCGAAGGAAGGGTACAATTCGGTTTTCAAAAACTTTTTCCAATTCCCGAATAATTTTGAACCCAACCTGCCGTCATGCCTGTATTCAGGGTTCCCAAACTACAATCCGTATAGTTTCCGCTTACGGAAAACAACACATTGCTCTACGATAATAAGGGGGACCATATGGGGTTCATAAAATTAAGCAGTGGATTTGATGCACATTTTTAACTTTACAAGCCACATTGGTAAATGCAGAGACATGACGTTTTATGAAGCGCCATTTCACGGTATTAAAAAATTTCACGATAAGAAATTTTTTAACACCGAATTATACCCTTCCTTCGAGTGTAAAATTAAAAGAAGACCTAATTTTCTTCTGAATGAGCAAAAGAATTAATATTTTATGCATGTTTTCCAAGAAAAATTAATCGAATCTTTAAGGGCATCGAAAATCAATGGGAAAATGCATGCTAAATAAGTAGCCATTTTTTACGGAGTATGGTTTTAGGATGCGGACAAAAAAAGAAGTTTGTTCGAAAGTCGGCATCCTGGGGTAACTGAATAATTATTATGTTGCAGGTTGACTGGTTGTACAACCATACTTAATTAATCTTTTCGAAACGAAAACGCATTTCGGAATTTCTGTTGACATTTCATGAGTTAGCCCACCTACTGTAAGTCCGGTGTCAAGAAGACAGGCATGGCGTCGGGACAAGTACCTGTCGCGACGTAAGCCTGCACTCAAGCATGCCACCACATGCCCCCATGTTTGGCATTTGCACAACCGGAATAACCCGTGTCATGCCCCAACCTAACTCCCGGCTGCGTGTGCCATCAGTCAGCAGGGAGACAGCAACGTTGGACCATGAGGCATTTAGACAGAGCCAGGGCGATGAACACCAGTCGAACGAAGCCTTTCGCAGTCAGGCGCAGGCCCTTGCAGAAATGCTGCCCAGTGACCTTGTACTACGGTCGACAAATGATTTCTTACCGACAACATCGACAATTCGACCGTCGTGACCGAAGATGTCCGCTGTGTGCCCCACAGTAGGCTGAGAGCAGGCACGGTGGCTAGCGCATGAAGTAGATCATAGTTAGAGTAGACTTGCGCAGCATCTACAACACTCTCTCCTGCTCTCCATTTGGGCCCGGTATCAAGAGAGTCTAGAAGACCGGAGCTGATAGACGGCACAAGTAACCGGCACGGCCGGACCCGCACTTAGGCGTGCCACCACACTCCCTGGTCCACAACGCACACTGGCCATGATTTTAACACAACTCCAGAAAAAAGATGTCGTTTGTATGAATCTATGGTCAATCTCATACAGTTTGCCAACAAGACTACCAGCTGTTTCAGCAGCACTATTTTATGGTCGTTGCGTTAAACGCCTCGCGCAAGACAAGGCGTCCTCCAGCACATTCAGGTAGATATTTGTGCTCGTTTATATACTACTTAACATGTACATACTATTTGACACGCACACAACTGCCCTGCCACGCATAAATTGACACATACTTTTAGTCTGACAGACAGCCACCCGCCTGCCGCGCGTAATTCTATAAACAGTTTTCTTCTCAATGTCGATGTTTTCTCCCGACATTTTTGTAACCGACAGTCCGACCGTCGTTGCCCACGAGGTCCAACGTGTGCTTCACAGCTGGGCGAGTGCGGGGATGGTGACATGTGTGTGAATCCGTTTAAAGTAACAGTGGACTTGCGCCGCATCTACCACACTCGCTCCCGCCTGGGCTCGGTGTCATGACAGGAACAAGAAGGCCGTAGACGGCACTAGTGACCGGAAGAACGAAAACCGCACCAAACGCGTGATCCACAACGCACCTACACTGACCACGATTTTATAAAATGAGAAAAAAGGGGCGGCTCACCGCCCAGTCGGCTCGGCGAGCCAACACACCCCCACTGCTGACATTAGATATGGATGCGCATTCTCAAATAACAGCTGCCGTACCCTGATATGTGCCCGGTGTCTGTTTGGCGAAACTACTGCGTAGCCATTTTTAGGGGGCAAATTTCTGTTAATAAGAGATCCCTTTACCCTTACCTCGGTGAAAATGGACTGAACTGAACCTAATACCGTGGTTGGCGTATGGAGCTGCTAGCGTCGGCCAATAAGTCACAAGTAACTATTCCAGTTTCAGCTAATATTTCCCTACCACATTTACAATTCAAGTTGACAGACACATGTTGTCGGTAGCTCATCATCAGACCAATAAAGTTGAATAGAAAGTAAAAATATGAGACGTTCACTGGATTTATACGTGACTCAGGAGTTATTCACATTTATCGTTCCAACGCGACCCTCATGGCAAAGTCGGTCTGTTATGACCATTAGGAGGGGGTAGTGACAGCCTTTCAGCGATGTTTTTAAGTCGAGCACGTTGAGTACGCACAATTATCATCAGGGAGTTAGGGTGGCGGTCATAACCATCTGGAGTCGACGTTGGCTACAGAAGAAAGAGCAACTGTGTCAACGTCTTCTGATAACATAGCACTGGGTTCGCTGGCCGTATAGCCACTGTCTCGGCTGTTGTTAGCACCCGTTGGCGCAGACCTTTGGGGAGGTTTGCTTGTGTCGGGTCCACAACCTGAAAGGCTTTTCTGACATCGACTCGGTGATTCGTATCGACAATATGTTCGAGAATAGAACCCGAAATCGATCTGTTTTCAACTCCGCCTAGCCTAGCAGGTATGCGTTCTTTTATGTCCATTTCCAGGCGTCTCGTTTTATGGCCAATGGATCCCGCTCCACAGGAGCAAGTGAATGAGCAAATACACATCCGCGTGGCCTGCAACGGTAGTCGGTCTTTACCTCCCGAGCGTAGGAGGGGAGAGTTTGTTAAACACAAACGTTAATTCGCCGCAGCAGTAGCGCAAGTGATCGCTCTCCTTAGACGTTTTAATAGTTTACTTGCCGCGTCCCCTAGAAAAGGCAGTCTTATAAACAAATTTTTCTTTTCTGAGGCTGCCATGGTAGACCTCGAAGTGCTCTCATCAGTATTTTGTAGGATAAATCCCTTTGGTATCCCTCTCCGCGAAGTATGTTTCCTAGTTGCTCGAGTTCTGCTTCAACAGTCTCAGGAGCGCAGATACGCCGCACCCTAGCCGCCAATTCATAGACCCAATGACGTTTAATATTTAGAACAATAAAACTGAAAATCAGAGTACTGTCCAGTTTGCGTTTTTTCTGGAATACGCTACACCGGATAGACCCACTCTTTTGTTTGTGCAGAAGGACATCGATGTGTATTTACTAATTCACTTTCGATACAACGTGACTCCTGGAAAAGGACGTAAATGAACGCATACCTGCCTGGCTCGACAGAGGTGAAAACAGATCAATTTCGGGTTCTATTATCGAAAATATTGTCGATACGAATCACGGAGTCGATGCCAAAAAAGCCTTTCAGGTTGTAGACCCGACACAAGCAAACCTCCCCAAAGGTCTGCGCCAACGTGTGCTAACTACAGCCGAGACAGTGGCTATACTGCCAGCAAATCCAGTGCTATGTTATCAAAAGACGTTGACACAGGTGCTCTGTCTTCCATGAACCAAGGCCAACCCCAGATGGTTATTGCGCGCCGCTCCAACTCCTTGATGATAATAATTTGTACTCCACGTGCTCGACTTCAAGCAACGCTGAAAGGCTGTCACTACTCCCTCCCAATGGTCATAACAGACTGACCTTGTCATGCGGGTCGCGTTGGAACGATGAATGTTAATAATCCCTCAGTCACTTATAAATCCCATGGACGTCTGTTGTTTTTACTTTCTATTCAACGGTATTGGTCTGATGATGAGGTACCAAAAAAACACATGCCTGTCAATCTGACACTTCAGTTTCTCTTGACTTGGTCGCCAAAAGTCACCAACATATTTTTCAGTTTAGAAGCTACAACTCTAGTAGTTTGAGTCGATTGGTTGTCAGTCCACTGAAAGCGGCAGACCTTAACACAACGGTCCCGGATGAGTCTTAAATTTCGGTTCCGAAGACTTTACTTTTGATGAAAGAAAGACTCACAAGAGGATGATCGTCAACATCGCGGTCAAAGGACGCCACAACGAGGAAATATGATTACGAAAAAGTGATTTAAAAAATCATGTCAAATGCGGAAATAATGGAAAGAGGGCGACTTAATCGCAGCATGAGGGCGTTAAGAATGACCAGTTGGTAACCACTGTAAGATTATAAATGCTTAAGTTAGAAAGGGGCGCTCCTAGAAAGTTGGACGAGGTAACACGAGAAGCAACAGTCTGCATGCGCCTACATCAAATACTTGAAAGTATTGGTAGACACTTGGACGTCGGTGACAGCTGTAAGGAGTATGAAATTCTCCAGCGGGCCTGAGGGTTTCGCAGTCAAAAAAGCATGATAGGACGGCTGGAAGAAGGGAGCCAATGGAGGGTGCCAACTTTAACTCGAGGAGGCCCGTGCTGAGGACTTGGAGACACTTGCATCCGAGTCGGTTGTACTAGCTGCCAGCAGGGGACCTTCCAGAGAGGCAGAATAGTGTCCAGCAGAGTTGATCGTCGGCGGAGCAGTGATGAGGACGCCGTCAGGGGTGGAATGGCGATGGGTAGGTGGAGCAAAGATACTGGTTGCAGCGACTCCAACACCCCCGTCCACCTCGTCATCATCATCACCGCCGCCATCAGGACCACCAGAGAGACTCTGCAGCACCTCCGTAGAGGCAGTCGTCCATTCATAAGGCGCTGGAGTAAGGTAGACACTGGGGCTGATTGAACCGTCGGTGAGACGACGACGCCTGCCCTGGCGACGGATCATGGCGGCACGACGGGTGAAGCGGAAAGGTAAGTGGACTCGATCGTCTTCCGTTGTGGCAGGGAACGTGAAGGCGTCTTCGCCTTCGGCGTCACTGCTTCCCTGGGTGGTAGCCATCGGCGAGAGGCCGTCCTCCTCACCGATCCGTGCAAGTTCAGATGAGGTCCCGTCTTCTTCCTCTTCCTCTCCCTCCTCCTCCTCCTCCTCCTCTTCCACCGTCGCACTCAGCCCGCCCTCAGTTTCCTCTTCCCCCTCCGAGGGGTCAGAGGAGTTGCCCAGACTGGTAAGGCTCTTGCGGTCTACCAGGCAGGTGGCGCTAGCCGACAGGTGAGCGCCGGAATTGTCTGTAGGCGGCACGGAGAGACCCGAAGTAGAACGACGAGCAACGCCCACACCGGATACGTACTGCTAAAAGGCGTATTAAGTCGAAGAAGCAGTCTAATAAAATCCAACAGGAAGGAGTATTTCGTAAAGATACTGTACACAGAACTCAAACCGAGTGGAAACAGCCAACCATCACTGGTTGGTAAATCAAAAGTCCGAAAACGTACGGCTGGAAGAAGTTGTTTAATGACAGTCTGATCGACCTGCTACAAGCAAATTGAGCTTGGATAATAAAAGTCCAGATCAAACCAGGCTGTATGAACTGGTCGTCAGACTCATCACAGGCGAACCTCCTGAGCTAGGGAAGTCCAGCTTCAAGTTGTTAGTTCATTAAAATCAAAATCAGAGCATACCCTTATGGCTATATGATGATTCAAGAAAAAACCTATCGCATTGAATAATGATTCAGCGTGTTCTTTAAGACAGTTGGCAAAAAAATCTAGAGCAATAACTATGGTAGTCTACAGGCAAAAATATCCAGGGGGGGAGCTTGTCGATTTCAGCTCCCCGTAATCGGTTATATTCAACCGTGCATGACAGCAGACTAAGGCCGCGTGATAATGAGCACCCTCATTCTCTTATGAGTGATTTGAAGGAACTTTACTTGATGCGAAAAGGCAAAATAGAGGCTGTCGTGGAAGGTGGAGGAGGAAGAGGAGGAGGAGGAGGAGGAGGAGGACTCTGGCCAAAAGTACACACCTCGTTCGGCGTCTGCTTCACGACGGCACCCGCTGTTTGCGGCCTGGGAAGATCGAGAAGGCGCGGTGAAGGCGATGGTGGAAGAACTGAACTGTCGGATAGTGCAGTGTTTCGTCGATTGGGCAGCGGCGACGCCGTGGCAGAACGCACTAGATAGCCTGGGTGAAAGCCACCGATTCGGGCGGTCCGCACAGACGCTGAGAGTCCAATAGCAGCAAGACCCAGCATATTCATCCATTTAGTTCGACTTTGTTCTGAGTTCGCGGCGAAGACGAAATTCGCCCAGTCATTGTAAATACGGAACGCGCTGCAAAGGTGAAGAGAATGGGTGTGCGTCAATAGGTAAAGCGGTTGGGATGTTGCGCACAAGACGTTCAAGAAATAAGTGGAAGGTCAAACCCAACTGGGACAAAAGATTCGCCGGTCCCACATTAGCAAAGCCACTTATCAACAGCGGAATGTTGTTTTAGCTGAGAGTGTGGTGCGCGCCTTACGACAAGCGGAACAGCTAGTCTCCGAAAATCATGGAGTGAACTGCTGCCCTATCTAAAAAACCTAACTCGTCGAACACGGGGCATGATCTTATTTAGTAGCCGTATTTATTAGTGGTTAAGGTAAGGGTTAGGTTGGGACTTGTCTACTGCAGGTACGCGGCTACGAAATGAGATCCGACCGGACACGGGTATATGGACACCTGCCCCCCCACCAGTTTCACATGTGGCCTTGCGCTAAATTCCAGTGTAGTTCATTTTCCGGTGTCCTAAATTTAGCCCCAACGCGAAGCTTCATAAAACTAATTCTAGTCACAGCTCTAAACCCCCCCCTCCCACCCACCCCAACTGGAATTTATTCTAAGGCAACCGGTAATAGGGGGGGGGGCATAGTTCCGTGCCCAACCACTTGATCTTCTGTAAACTATGAACGTATGAACGATCGGTGAGCGCCCCCTAACATTGTATATTCCCGATCGAAAACCGACAGGGCAACGGGCTCATGGCCCGGTGAGTAGAGGCGTTGACTTCTAAACCAACAGGTCGCGAGTTCGAGGCTCGGGTGTTCCACACTTCGGGCTTGGGTATGGCTGGCTGACGACGGCTAACAAGCCAGAAATGGCCATTCCAGTCTCCCTTGTCTTTGTCGGTGATATCATTCTGCCTATATATCATGCGCCGCTGTGCAGCTGCTGGTTGGGCTCGAGAGAGAGCCCTTAAGGCACAACGGAACGAGTGTGTTCCGTATGAACGATCGGTGAGCGTCCCCTAACATTATATATATTTAGCCTCTCTTTTAAGTAGCACCGGCAGTAAGTCTGAGTACAGCCGACTGGAGATGACATTAGACGCCGTGGCTGACGGCGAGTAAAATATTCGTCCCTTGTGATCCACATGTGGGTATGGCACCCGTTTAGGTCTAAAGCATCAGAACAGCATGTAAGGCGAAGTGAAGGCCTGTCATACGGTCATAGCCTTCAAGAGGTGTACATAAGCTTGGGATGTGATTGCGAGGAGGTGACTCAAGGGGTCGTCTGCAAACAACTTTCATAAGCACTGAAAAGGATACCCTTCCCTCTCGTACTCCAAATGTCCTGCGAAACTTAGTTTGTTTATTGCATGTAGGAGCAGTCCATAAAAGGTTTCGAAAACTGCTAATTATGCGGGACGTTGGTGATTAGAAGCGACGGGAAGTTTTCGCATGAAATTTACAGTTTAAACACGAAAAAGCGGTCGGGTACATACTAGCGGCCGGAGCGCGCGTCGGACGTGGGTGAGATGGTGACTCCGTTCAGAATGATGAGGCCCTCCGCATAGTCGTCCTAGGAGAAGAGATTCTGTGAGGAAGACTACGTGGGAACCGTTGGTCGGGAGACGAAAACATTTTAATAGAAGGGCTACTTACATCCGGATGGCGATAGTAGTAGAGGGTGTTGTGCTTAAAGACACACCAGCGCTTGACATATTTGTTGGCAAACGAGCTGCGTTTTTTGAGCCACAGCCAGCCCTGACAGTCACCCAGACCCAGGGCTTTGCAGGAGATCCTTTGGGCTGTGGAAAGAAGGGAACATGATTTGACAGCTGGGCAAAGAATAGCAGGATAGAGAAGACCTTCAACGGGGGACGCAGGGCAGGTTGGGACCCACGTAAGTGGCTCCCCAGCCGGATAGATATGCGGGTACACCAAAAACGCCCAAATACTCTTCACCTGATACGGCCGCGGTAGGATGTGTAACCCCTGTTTGAACTATCCCTTCCAGAAAGTGCCTTTTTAGAACAGTAAAATAGGCATGCAGTGCAATAACGATTTTCTACTTTTATACATATCTAAGAACGCCATGTTTCCCTTCCCAAAGATTCCTACTGCAAACATTCCCATGGCCCTGTGCCACAGTTCGGGAAGGGGGATAACATATCCGTCTCCGACTGCGATCACCGCAGAGCTATTCAACATCGGTGAGGTTAAACATGCTGCCTCGACGTTCGCGCAATTGACAGCGACCAACAGACTGGCAAAATAAGTAACGATGGAGCGTTCGTTGTTAGGGTTGAAAACTCGAAATGCAGACGAGCAATTCCCAACTACCACTTAACTAACTTCGTCGTCTACCTGTACCATCTGCCTGGCTTTCAGCCACATCCTATAATCGCACAGTGGCTGACTTCTGTTCAGCGTTAACAACAGCAGTTGTTCAACCACTGGACATCACTACATAGGTCTCAATCCGTGCGTAGATGCCCTCCGCCTCCTATCACCGCAAAACTGACCTGATTAGGGTGGACCGCGTTCTCATGAAATATGGATGTTGATAAAGTACTCCACTGTGAAGAGGGAGACGCGATAGCTGGAGCACGAGCTTTATTCGCCCGACGTTCCGGATTCCTGCTTGAGCCCATCATCAGAAACAATAGCAGGTACTGGTAGTTCATACACAAGGGGCAGCAGTATTTATAGGATGCAGTAGCAATGCGACCGCATACCTATGAAAATTCACGGATACACCCATTCATCGGGGATTGTTTCACTTGGTGTGATGACTGTTCTACGGCCGGCATTCGCGTCGTTAATTGCTGCAATTTCATCACGTGCGTTGGATCTTGGTGTGATGATTGCTCGACCATCTGACCCACCAACCCTAGTGTTGGGAGCCGGGTTCACCTGTGCGCTCCCTGCGTGGCTAATTACTCTGAATAGGCTAAGGAGGAGGAGGGTCATTGCACCTGTTGAGAGACAAGGGGGCCAGATGACCGTGAAGCGTGCAGCTCGCGGACCAGGCGACCGTCATAACGAATAACCCGCATCTGTTGCTCTCTGATGATGGCTTCGAGCAGGAAACTGAAACGTCGGGCGAGTAAATCCCTTGTCCCAGCGATCGTGTCTCCTTCTTCACGACTGCTTCCTTAGACTGGCATCTCCGCTTCTTTTGGCAAAGCACTCAACTACTCGAATCCAGAACGCGGTCTTGCAGATCGTGCTTCCAGGAGCCCCAGGTTTCCGTGGATAAGAATTTTTATCACGGCAAGCGAACTATTGCGTTTCGTGATATTTTGAAGTCTGCAAGATGTACAGATTTCAGAAGACTAAAAATCGAGAAAAATGAGCCCCTCGGTCAGTCTAGCTATGGGTGAGCCGGCACATTCAAAGGCAGCGGATTGTAGAACAGCTTTCAGCTGGGGGGGAGTCCTGTATTGGATCTGGCATGCCGACTAACTAGTAAAATCCCGAAGATAGGCATTTTGGCCTGACGATAACTGTCATTAAACCGGCCGTCTTGCCACCATTACCCCCTTCTACTGTTATGAGGAAACGAGCTGTCCATGGCTGCAATTCTCGTGGACAAGTCGGGCATCTGACAGTGACAGTTCGACCATCGGTTTCGATGATGTCCACCGTGTGCCCCACTGTTGCAGCAGCAATGGGAACAGGGATGGTGACTTACGCAGGGGTTTATAGTGCCGGTAGACTTGCGTAGCATCTACCTACACTCTCTCCTCCTCCCTCGCCCGAGCCCGGTGTCAAGACAGAGTCAAGAAGACCGGAGACGAGAGAGGCCGCAGGTGGATGGCTCGGACGGATCCTCACCTTGGCGTTCCACCACACCCCCTGGTCCACACGACAAATAACCAGGATTTCAACCAACACGAAAGATTTGGAGGCTGGCACGGCATCTAGCCCTCCGGTGTAAAACCTGCTGAAACAATTTTCGGAAGTTATTGTGGGAGAACGGAGCTACAGGGAGTCCTATTTCAGAGTCAACTGAAATATTTGACAGAGATGCTGGCGCCAAGCACCAGGACCGGAACAAATGACCCAGTCGTGAGGGCAAAGGCAATTCAAGTCAAGATCTTTCACCGAAGGGTTGGACTTAATGCGAGTCGGTAAGATGAGGTCTAGTAGGTCAGAGCTGGAAACGAGGGAGACGTCGCTGGTTATTCGAAGTGGCTTACTTGCATTTTTCCAATTGAAGGCTTCCTGTTGAGTGAAATCATCAAGGGAACCCTGAAAAACGGGAAAAAGAGAGAGCGAAGTTTTATCATGGAAGCAAGAGGAAGAATATGTGTCAGGCCAAATTGAGATTAGAATGTCAAGGTTAAGAGATCCGGACTGCTAATTTGAAATCTATAGACAGGTGAAGATCTTCTTCAGAATGAAACTTCGGTTTATGTACTCGAACAAACCACTGCTTAGAACGTAACGACAAAAGCAAAGGTGACAAACAAAAGTTTGTAGGACGCAGAAAATGCCGACGCAGTTAAGACTACCCGACTCACCAACGTGGCAGGACGACGACGAGTCTTCCTCTTGTCCGTCGATTGTTGAGACGAAACTGAAGCTGAGAAAGCAAGGATAAAATACATGTTTTGTACTTGAAAATGATGAATTCAACAAAACATGATACGATCTTGCTTGCTGAAAGGAACTTGAGATAATTAAACGCCGGTTATTTACCAAACTGGTCGTGGTGGTGGTGGTGGTGGTGGTACCGGTGGTGCCGGTGGTGGTGGTGCCGGTGGTGGTGGTGCCGGTGGTGGTGGTGGTGGTGGTGGTGGTGGTGGTGGTGGTGGTGGTGGTGGTGGTGGTGGTAACGGCGAATGTCTATACCACGAGAATGATGAAGCCTCGTTGACACCGATTTTGTGTGCAAATTCAAACTGCTTGAATACCTGGCATTCTTTGAAACAAAGAGGAAAAGGATGACGAAAGTAGAAGAAAATAAGGAATGCATATAAATGAAAATACGCAAAAGTGTGTTCAGCCGCATTGCGGTAGGACCTGACTTAATTTTTGCAGAAGAACTTAACGGTAAAGGGGGAAAACGATGCTGCTGTCTGGAAAGTCACCTGCAGCCAGCACACCTCTGAGGCAACGGATTAGATGGCAGATTAGGGTGTTCAAGCTAGGCTAAGTAGGCGAGTGGATGCGGCACTAAAACATAAATCGACTCCAGCACGTTGGCATGCCAACTTCATCGGGCGACTGTAACCCTCAGTCTTCCTAGTCGCTTGGCTTTCGCGCAAACGGTTTGAAGAAGATTCCCGAAGATGGTGGACGGGACGGATACGTTAGGGTCGGTAGTGTGTTTAGTGTCGGTGAAGTGAAGTTGACTTGTACTAGGCTTCTAAAATCCGGTTCCCAGTTAAAGAACAGTTTTATGATAGCGAAGTCGAACGTTAGAAGTCGGAACATCGCGAGGAAAACTGCTGTACTGGAACAGTGTTTTGATAGGGTAACTGATAACGTCTGTTTGATATGTAAACTCCTCGGTTAGTGCAATAACCGTTCTCATTTGCTCTAAAACATGGACGGAGCACAAATACTTTTTGAAAGTTAAACAAAAGTTACTGAGGTGGATATACTTACCATCCGGATCTGACGATTGACAAGGTGATGGCTGATCCGGTAGGAGTAGAGATGTATGTACATTGGCTGTGGATTCGAAAGCACTCCACCAGCTACTGAGGTCTCCGCTTGTAGTTCTGGGAGTTGAGTTGGAAGTTTCGCCGGTGACTGGTTGTTCCGAAGGTTCCCTAATGCAATTTGTTACACGTGAATGGGGAAACGCGCACTATATGGTGGGAAAGAGGCCTATATCTCAGTCACTTATGGTTTATCGACAGGGAGGCAAACTGTCACGGCAAGATGTGAACCAACGCCTCATAAAAGGCTACTTATAAAGTGTTAGTAAACAATCAATTTAACATATTCAAAATTTGTATGCTCGTTTACGTCAATACATATATACCATTTACATTTGAATTCCAGTGAAAATAGTAACAGACGAATGAAATCCACCAAAATCCATACAAAACTCGTGCGCCGACTCAACCGTCTGAGTACCTGGAATCGGTTTCGTTGGGCAATTGGTCCTCGTTTGCCTCAGCAATTGCGGATGGTGAATGAAGTGACTGAAAGAAGCGTTCGCCTCGAGGTCGGCAGTGCACTTGACTGCCAGTTCCGCCGTTGTTGCACATCGTGGAGGGCAACGACGATGGGGGCGTATCGCCTTTGGCGTCTGCGGTGGTGGGTTGGGATTCGCCGTCCAAGGTATTGGGCTCGGTCGTAGGCTGAGCACGACGCTTGGGCACGCGGCCCAGCAGCAAGTGGGAACGCCTGGCCTGTTGGTGAGTCCCTGCACTCGGCGGTGACCTTGCCAGCGGTCGAAGCCGGTGCTGTTGTCGCTCCTGATGTGAATTCTGCTGTTGTCCGTGTTGCTGTTGGTAACGGTGATTATGCTGTTGATTTGAGAGGCCACGAGTGCGACGACCGCTGCCAATAAAGTCCGTACAATGGGAGGGTCGCTTACGGATGCGTAGAGTGAGACGTCGGGGAGTCTGGAGAATGGCTTCCTCAACCGCCTCATGTTCCCATAAGAGCTTGAAGAAAATGTACACTAAAGTTGTGAGTGGGTCACTCAAGTCGCGCAGGTGGACACGAAATCGGGTATCACAAAGGCATGCATCCTGCACGCAGAATAGCGACCAAAGCGGCTCCCTATCCCTCCACCTTTCCTGTCTAACTTCCGGAGGAGTTGGGTGCTTTTAGGTCAGGCGGTACCGACGTCTTGCGAACCATTTTTCGTACAGTTAGATCGCATAAGCAAGCAGCACGTGTACGCGCTGTTGTACAAAGGGTGTATACAGTACACGTGAAAGCCCACAGCTACACGCCAGAATGCCATGACGCGCGCCCGTAGATCAGGGGTAAGAGCGTTGCTTGATGATTGGCCGACTTGGTTCAAACCTGGGGAGCGTAGATGATGAGTTCGATGCGTCTACTAGTTGATAGAGGCAAATATGCCAAAAGCTACTCTTTTAGCAGGCCCGTCTTAATGAAACTCACACCTTGTTGACTGTGGTCTTTAAGTGTGTCTTTAAGTAGAAATTGCAGTAAGTTAGGACCGTAACACTGAGGACAAGCTAGGAAGGTAATCGGAAGTTGAGTCCTCTCTTGACCGAAAGCATTGCGGTACCTCTACCAGCCCTATTTGGTGAAAATCGCGGCCAGAGTGAAATATAATCCCTCCCCCTTCGGACCGCACTGTGCCCCCTAAATGCGGCAGCACCTAGTACCATTACAACGTCATCGTTGAATGCTGTTCACAATTCCTGTGAGAACGATGCCAGCAATAATGTCACCCGTGCTGACGCGCACATTTCTAAACTTTGCATTCCCTACTGAACTGTAAACCCTTCAAGTATCGAACCTTTTCCGCATAACCACACATTATTATAATCAAAGTTTTCTTTTTCTGAGGCATTATGGAGCAGGCTGTTATCGAGTAAATATGTAAGTAACGCGGGCATACTTCCAAATGCATCATCCTTGAAGTAGCTAACCAACGCTTGTTGGAGTCCAGGGAAATACAGTGCGTGACCGATCTCATGAAATGTTGACCAAAATTCTGGAATGCGTTTCTGATTAGGAAGGATTACTTAGGTGGGGTTCTTATATTGATTATCATGCAGCATAACCCTATAACATTTCGGACTCGCCACGATGTCGGCTTTTGAATGCACTTCTTTTTAACCTCCAGCAGAAACTATACTCGGTGAAAAATGACTACTTAAGTAGCATGCATTGTTCACATTGATTGTCGATGGTCTTATAAATTTAAATATATTTTACAGAAGACAAGCACAAAAATATGCTTTCTTTTGCTCATTTGGAAGGAAATCACATTGTGTTCATATTTTATGCCGGAATAAAGTGTATATTTTGGTTTTAAAAAAGTTTCTAATTATGGGATTTTAAGACCGTGCGATGTCCGTGCATGCAGGACCACACATGTCCGTTTACTAATGCTCCTCATGAAATGTACAACACAGTCCGAATCCATTGCGAAATTTCATGAAATCTGTGTGGTATCTTCTTAAAGGCAAAAAGGAATATATGATTTTCCTTACGCGGAAAGCATGCACCTTGTAGACTGAAATTGCTAACCACTGATGCAATGGCAGATCAGGCTGAAAATTATTCGGGAATTGGGAAACTTTTTTAAAACCAAAATATACACTTTCTTCGGGCATAAAATATAAAGACAATGTGATTTCCTACCAAATGAGCAAAAGAATGCATATTTTTGTGTATGCTCTCTGTAAAATATTTTTGAATTTATAAGACCATCGAAAATCAATAGGAAAAATGCATGCCACATAAGCAGTCATTTTTTACCGAGTGCGATTTCTGCAGGAAGTCAAAAAGAAATGCATTCAAAAGCCGTCATCCTGGCGAGTCCGAAATGTTATAGGGTTATGCTGCATGATAATCAGTATAAGAACCCCACCTAAGTAATCCTTCCTGATCAGAAACGCATTCCAGAATTTTGGTCAACATTTCATGAGATCGGTCACGCACTGTAAATACGATGGACCTACTGTCGAAAGTATAATTTCTGAGGTAGATAACACGATGCAGACGTCTACATAACGCGAGTAGACATTGACCACGTAAGCAGCAATTTTAAGAGTGAGGGAGGAGGTGGAGGTTATATTTCAGTGTAACCAAAATCGTTACTTGAATAATATGAGCAAGTCTATAGACTTTAAGGGCTATGGCCAGTCATTTTTTCCGAAGTTTATTTCTTATCCTAAGGCAATCGCCCCTACTCAGACGCATTCCCTATACCAGTTACAAAAAACGTAGCAGTCCCCACTCACTTAAAATAGTCCTCCAAAGAACTACGCACGTAGGTTAGTTCGGAAGAGACCCGATGAGAATAAAGACTGAAAGGCACGGGAATAGGAGCCAGGAAAGCAATCAATTGTCGCGTCCGAACCCTATCCCCAATCATAAACCCTATCTCTAACCGAACCCTAGCTCTAACTCTAATCTTCAAAGATCTAGGCATACGACACATAAAGGAGTCAAAAGTAAACGGGAAGCTATGGCTTCAACTTACAACAACCTGACCATTCACTTCGACAATTTCGTCATCCTTGTTCAGCCTACCGGAGCCGAAGGTGATCAACTAGATGCAAAAGGAGTGTCACAGAACGTTTCCAACATCAAAAATAAAATGGGAACAAATAACTGCAAAATGAAGCCAATGGTTAGGCAAGTGCCATAAGTGAGTAGTTGCATGCCCTGCTGTCGCTTGCAAGAGCTCCAGTGTTCACTCGCTCCAACGGTCGCAACTTAGGTGGACAAATACGTGAAAATGAGTGGGCGTGTTAATTTTGCAATCCGTCAAGAAAATGCGATTCTAGCAGTTACTGCCTGTTACACACACACACACCCCGGGTAAGAATGGTGGAACGAGATGAGTCGATTTCACATGGGGTTAGATCTACAAACTGTTTGGAGGCGACTGGATTAAAAGGCATGTCGGTGAAAGCTGTCTGTTAGACCTGGTGCACCGATCAGGGAGGCAAGCTGTCACGACAATGAGAGCTGTGGACCAACGCCGCATAAAAGACTACTTATAAAATGTTAGTAAACAATCAATTGAATATATTCGCAATCCCTGTGCTCGGTTACGTCAATATGTACGCCATTTGCATTCGAATTCCAGTAAAAAAGGTAACAGATATCTTACCTACCAGAACCTGTTGACAGAATATGGTGGTCCTGGCTGAAGAATGTTCAAAAAAGGGGGGTGATTGCGGGTCGTTCTCAGTCTCGGCACGTTGGCGAGATTTTATCAGCGGTTCATCAGTGGCTCTAAACTCATGAAACCATCGAGAAGCCTTATCGCCAAAGACAGGGGAGAGTGGAATGGCCACCTTTGTATTAATTGTCGTCGTTAGTCGGCTACAACCAAACCGCAGAGCAAACACGGGTTCGTTGTTATAAGTCTGCCCATGTCAGCACTAGACCGGGACTCCAAAGGGAAACGCAGCCTCCGTATGTTGCCTTGCAATGTGGACAGATGGTTGAGCAAGCGCTGCTCCAAAGTGAGTTGAGTATTCCCCGTTACAGCCAACAAAACATGAGCTCGTGGCGTCATGAGTGAGCCAGGGAGAAAGAGCTGCAGTCGAAATTTCAGGAGACTTCTCGACCTGCAGTTGAGAGTATAGCTGGCTGATAATGAAAAATATGTCATTGACGACCTTTCTGGTCTCTCTCTCTCATCCTTAATGATAATACTTCCTGGCTACAGATTCTCCATCACAATGCGCCCACCTCTGCAGACTCTGGGTAACACGCAATGTCCACATTCCGTCTTTCAACCAGGATAAATCAGCGGGCGCCACCGACTTTTTGTGAAGCGTCCTTGTGAAACACCCGGGAACAGCAGAAACTAAATGCATCCGGTTGACAGACCATGTGTGCAACTACAGTAGGTAGGCTAGCTCATGAAATGTCAACCGAAATTCCGAAATGCGTTTTCGTTTCGAAAAGATCAATGACGTAGGGTTGTAAAACTAGTCAGCTTGCAATATAATTCTATAATATTTCAATTACCTCAGGATGCCGACTTTCGAACGAACTTCCTTCCGGCTGCATACAAAAACTACATTCTGTGAAAAATGACTACTTATGCAGCATGAGTTTTCTCATTCATTTTCGATGCCCCTAAAAGTCCAATTATATTTCATGTAAAACGTGCATAAAAGTATTCCTTCTTTTGCTCATTCGGTAGATAATTGCGCCTTCTTCCAATTTTATACTCGAAGGAGGGACATAATTCGATTTTTAAAAAGGTTTCTAATTGTGAGACTTTTAAATACCGTGAAATGGCCGTTCATAAAACGTCATGTCTCTGCATTTAGCAATGTGGTTCTAATCCACTGCTTAATTTTACGAACCCTATATGGTCCCCCTTTATTATCGTAGAGAAATGTGTGGTTTTCCGTACGCGGAAAATATACGGCTTGTAGTTTGGAAACCCTGAATTCAGGTGTAACGATAGAGCGGGTTCAAAATTATTCGGTAATTGGAAAAGTTTTTGAAAACCAAATTCTACCCTTCTTTCGAGTATAAAATTGGGAGAAGACGTAATTATCTACCGAATGAGAAAAAGAATGAATATTTTAGGCATGTTTTCCATGAAATATAATTGAACTTTTAGGGACATCGGAAATCAAGGAGAAAAATTCATGCTACTTAGTAGTCATTTTTAAGAGCGTGTAGTTTTTGTATGCAGCCGGAAGGAAGTTCGTTCGAAAGCCGGCATCCTGAGGTAACTGAGTCGTTATAGAATTACACTGCAGGCTGATTAGTTATACAACCCTACTTAATTAATCTTTTCGAAACGAAGACGCATTTCGGAATTTCGGTTGACATTACATGAGTTAGCCCACCTACTGTACGTCTGCCTCTTGGCAGGTCTACCCCCTGTCCCACTGATGACATAGGCGTCATGAAAGGCTTTACCTTCGTCGAAGAAACAGCTTCGGTTGATGCGTCACAGTTGAAGATGCGCTGCCTCCTCCTCCTCCTCCTCAGGACTTATGTAGGACACAGTTCTGCCATTTACATATGTGGTCTCGCCACAAAGTGGGACCGAGATGTGAGTGAATTCGGATACGATCAAAGTCATCCTGCTCCATGGTCGCAAAACTTGGCCAATACATACTGCTAGCTGCGGGAAGGTGTTTGATAGAGGGTGCAGCTTCGGTGTACAGATCAAGCCCGGAACAAAAAACCTCCCTGTAGATCAACAGCATCACTATAGGTGACTTAATGAAGAGTCGCCGTCTCGAGCGGTCTAATCCCACCATCGTCAGCCCGAAGTGATGGGCGGCTTATCCACAAGACCATCTTTTCTGATCAACGCCCAGTGTGATGCCGTAGCCCTAGTGGACAACTGAAAGGGGATGGCGGACTCAAGGATCTTCAATTCTACGACAACTAGACAACAGTTGCATAGGGTCTGGCGCACAATCGCAGGACATGCCTCGCAAAAGCTGGTGATGCCGCGGACTCGACGGTTAAACCCACATCTGCGGCAGTTGGCGAAAATAAAAATTAGCAAGTCCATGCACACAGGCAGATGGCAAGGCGACCGGAAAATGGGGAGGGGGTTAAAAGTCACCCCCACCGAAACTAAGACATTCTCTTTCAGTTTAGATCTCATATATTTGTCCGATTACGGAGGGCGTTATGGTGGAGGACAGTGTCTGGTACACCGGGCCGAATTTTCTACCAAAACGACAAAATGACAATGAAACTGAAAGCTCGATATGCGCTAAACTCCCTTGAGACTTTTGAACTTTGCGCAGAATCAGACAGATGACCGCGCTTGAAGCACGAGGGATTTCCGTCAAGACAAGGCTTTTGTGCAGACTAGACAGAACTCCGGTACCTAGAAGACACTAGCCGTCTACATACGTTCGACCGTCGACGACAAACCATCATAAGGTCAGTCAACGATGTCCTCCGCAGTAACCAATTTGCATAGCCTGAGGGAAAAGTTGGCCGAAACATGATCTCATTCAAACTCAATTCTGACTGTTGAAACCGACCAGATCACTCAGATTAGGCATAGACAGATATGGTGAATGCGGACCTTGAGCATATCGCGGATCCAGTCGTCTCTGTATTGCGTGGACTTGGTGTGAGGGTTCATCAACTGTCTCTGGTGATGGGTTCGAGTGAAAATCCGAAATGTCTTGTTTCAGCGATCTCATCTTCTTCTGAACTGCTTCCTTGAACTCGCCTGTTCGCTTCTATTGGACATTACATAACTTACGGCGGCGGGCCGATCTAATCAGTCATGATCGAGATTTTAACAAGAGCCAATATCACAATCATTCCTCACAAAATGAAATTTCCGTAGTCGTAAACAGTCGTAAACTTAGTCTTGTGACTGAGCTTGGCCTAGCTGGTGAGGAAAAGGACCATAAGAAAACGTGTGGACTGAATTTTGTCGCAAATACTCGCAGGCCTCAAAACATATGACCGGTAACAATTAATGCGACAGAATACTTACGTCCGGTCTTACTGAACGAATGACGTGGACTCCAGTCTCAGTTGTGATAAAACTAAATCCCTGTAAGAAAACCGCAAAAAAATTAAACAAATGAGTGTGGTTCAATTGTACGAACCTGTAGTAAGTCGTCAGTAAAGTGAAAATTTTATATCATCCAGACCTGGTAATGGGTATTGCTAACCGATCGCGGCTAATAGACCAGAAATGGCCACCCCTGTCTCCCTTGCCGATGTCAGTAATCTCATACCTCGCACATTGGTTGCCGCTACGTGACTGGAAAGGGGTCTCCATATTGAACTCCAATGGACAACGTGACGAGAAGGACCGTAGCGCGGTCAGTGAGCACTCTCTACCATGGTTAATACCCGATCGCAATCGATAAAACGAGCCCGTTGCTCAGTGCTTAGGGCGCTGGACCTCTAACCAACAGAACGCGGGCTCGAATTTCAGGGGTTGGGTATGGCTGGCTGATGACGTCTAAAGAGCCGATGATGACCATTCCAGTCCTCCTTCTCTTTGTCGGCAATATTCTTATGCTTACATATAAATGTAATGGTAGGGGACGCCCACCGATCGTTCTTATGGAACTCATTCGTTCCGTTGTGCCTTATGGGCTCTCTCTCGAGCCCAACCAGCAGCCGCACAGCGGCGCATGATATATAGGCAGAATGCTATTGCCGACAAAGACAAGGGAGACTGGAATGGCCATTTCTGGCTTATTAGCCGTCGTCAGCCAGCCATACCCAAGCCCGAAGTGTGGAACACCCGAGCCTCGAACTCGCGACCTGTTGGTTTAGAAGTCAACGCCTCTACTCACCGGGCCACGAGCCCGTTGCCTTGTCGGCAATAGCATTCTGCCTATATATCATGCGCCGCTGTGCGGCTGCTGGTTGGGCTCGAGAGAGAGCCCATAAGGCACAACGGAACGAGTGAGTTCCGTATGAACGATCGGTGAGCGCCCCCTAACATTGTATATTCCCGATCGAAAACCGACAAGGCAACGGGCTCGTGGCCCGGTGAGTAGAGGCGTTGACTTCTAAACCAACAGGTCGCGAGTTCGAGGCTCGGGTGTTCCACACTTCGGGCTTGGGTATGGCTGGCTGACGACGGCTAATAAGCCAGAAATGGCCATTCCAGTCTCCCTTGTCTTTGTCGGCAATAGCATTCTGCCTATATATATATATATATATATATATATATATATATGACGGCTAATAAGCCAGAAATGGCCATTCCGGTCTCCCTTGTCTTTGTCGGTATCATCTCATCTATGTCTACTACTATTCGCTGTGCGACTGCCTGCGAGGGTTCTAGTTTGAGCCCCAAGGCACAACGGAACGAGCATGTTCCGTAACCTGATCGGCGAGCGCCCACTGTCATAATTAATATTCCCGATCACAACCGACAGGGCAACGGGCCCGTGGCTCAATGGTAGAGCGTCAAACTCCATGACCAAAGATCCCGGGTTCGAATCTCAAGTGATCCACACTTGGGGTTGGGTATGACTGGCTGATGACGGCTAATAAGCCAGAAATGGCCATTCCGATCTCCCTTGTCTTTGTCGGTACCATCTCATATATATTTATATATATCAACATGAAAATGTTTCTTTCGTACTCCCACTATACTTCATAGTCAAATGCTCAGAAACATTTAAGCCGATGTTTCTAACGATGCACGACGCAACTTCGAGGGTTTGATCTCACGGTGGGTTATCTAGCGTTTCTTGTGTGATTTCCGACATACGGATTCCATAAATTTCCGGGGGACTCAACACCAAGTTCTTCACTGAATGACTTCCACTTATGCACATACACTTGTGGGTGCTTTCTGATCTCGTTGACCTTGCAGAACAAACTAATTGTGTCGCGCCATGGTAGGTTTCGCGATCTGCACTACCTTCTGAGGTGAAAAGTGACTAAATAATCAGATACCTGAAAGCTGGCTAAAGAATGACGGCGGATGCTACTTCAGAACTACTTATGGCCTATTCAGTATCTTCATCACTCAGCATGTTCACATACGCTCGAGTAAAAGCCATATCGGCACACCTAAACATATACATGCACAGTCAACAGTCTAGGTCAGGCGATTGAGGTCCATCAACATAAAATCGTGTTCCTAGACCGTTCCAAGAAATCGGCACGTCAACTCACAAAGTCCGTCGGCTCGAATTTCCCTAGGGTCACGATTTCAATGGAGCAGGGAGTTAGCAACAGGGAATCGTCACAGTTCTGAATGAAATTCTCCAGGCGCTCGCGCAACTGGTTAACCTAGAAGAATGAACAGCACGATGAGATCGAGAATGGCCACCTTACTAGTTCCAAGGCGGGCTCCACGTAATCACCAAGAGACGAGTTCAAGCACAGATGTATGTTTGCCTTCAGTTTTTCCCCATCCGTTGAAATTAGGGGCTCCAACGTGCTGACGCAAGACATCCAGGAGAAAGGGATCCTAGAGGGGAGGCATGTCGTTTAGGAGTCAGACGACAAGCATCGAAACAGACCTTTGAAGCCATGAGATAGCCAGAGCAGTGTCTTTCTCCAGCCTTGTTGATAATGCCGAAAGAGTGTGGATCAAATCATCCAGATCGCTTTTCTTCCCGTTCTCCGGTAGTCTGTTTATGCGATTGATGCGACTTAGAACGGAGCTTATGAGGGCTATGGAACGTAGGAGACGGAATATTATGTCCTGGAGTGTGTCGGTCTCAAGAGTAGCATACTGTTCGGACAGGTTTTCCACAACTCTTAGGAAGACCGGCTCGAAAATGCCGAGATCGGTAAGATCAGAAGCCGTTAGGTGGATAAGCCATCGTCCATCGACGTTTGCCTTCTTTAAAATATCTAATTGGGCGCGGCATTTCGGGGCAAGACCTAGGAAGGCACGCATTGTATATTCCAAAATATTGTCTCACCTTTCACCCATGCCACAAGTTGCTTGGACGTCCAAGATGAAAAGTGTGGAAATTGAGTCCCCGATTCCAGCATTTAACGAAGGTTTATGACGACTACCTAAACGCGGAGGAAGTATACGAGAAAAGAGTGGCATGTTGCAAAATGAGGTAGAGAACTGCATGTAAAAGGCAACAAACATGATCAGCAAAATGCATTTGGTCTGGAGAGGAGACATTTGGGCAGTTTTGCGGAGTGCAACCGCTTACTTTTTAGTTGGAGGCATTGAAAACTTTCCTGGAGGGCGAGGAGTCAACCGCAAAACACCCCAAAATTCCACAGATGTACTCAGAAAGTAAGTTTTGTCTCCTGGACGCTTAAAACTCCAAGACTACGTGTCGGTTAAAAATTCGACTTGGAAGCTCTAAAGTAGTCGATTTTCTTCGGGGATTTCATCCTGTGTCCCCCATGAAACAGTCGTTAAAGAAGCTAGCGCGTAGACTACTGATTCAGCCTCGACGGAACGCGTTAGTTGGGCCGTTCCGGGCCCGCGTAACAAATGCCACACATGGAGGGAGTGTAGGGACAGGCCAAGGCGCAGTCTTCGCACCTCGCCAACCACTTGCGAGTAATTCCAGCAACAGACCGGCTTGAAAAACGAAATGGTTGTCATGCGAACCCTTTGTCCTGACCAAATTCTGCCTCACCAACTGTTGTTCTGTTTCTCGTTTCAGTTCCGATACGGCAACTGTAAGATGAATGAAGCCCAGTTCTAGACTGCTCATTCATTTTGATTCTTTCATCCTATTTCGTTCGTGATACCGCACTCGCATGATTGTAACCCTTCTGATGGCAACAAATTACCCATCCTACAACTCAGGAATCGGTCGATTTATCAGGCCAGAACGAGTTGATGTCGATCCAAACGCTTCAGACACTTCCAAACGATGGAAGCATTGGCCTCGTACCGTTGGAAATTTCATGCACAAGATCAAAAGTCTGTAACCGGACAAACTTAACATTCTAACTAATTATGTTTCCTCGACAGTCTAGGAATGAATTAAAGAATGCTCCAGTTGCAAAGGAGCTGTTGGATTGCTGAAGGACTTCTACTCAAGACCCGAAAACAACAGTTTTGCTTGCCATCTACTGGTGGCCTGCAGACAAGAAGACGATCAAGCCCTTGGCCAGTTTGTTCACCAAATGAAGTTTTTAGCCAAAGAATACGATTTCAAAGCTGTTAAGGCAGAATAAAATCATGATCATGCCAGCAAAAACGTGCTCATCGGTGGTCTTACACCAAAACTGATCCCGCAGAGATTACTAGAGAAGATGACTTTGAACTTTCAAAGTGCCCCCGACCGGGCAAGATTACTGGGATTGGCAGAAAGAGTCTCAATTTTGTCAGGACTCTCCGACAACCTAAGTCTCCGCCGTTACTGAGATGCGTGAAACTCCATTCAGTCCTGCTAGGGTATCTGACCTAGTAGCTTCCAGTTTATTCTAACAACAAGTGCTTTCTTCGTGGACACTAAGCGCATTCTCGTCTGAAGTATCCTGCACGCGGCGTGTTATACAATAAATGCGATAAAACGTGCACTTCCAAAAAGTTTGCCTGGCATCATTAAACCGAATGATCTCCACTTCCACTATAAATCCTACAATTTCTGCCTCGCATCGAGTACTGTTCCTGACGGCCTTTCAGACGCAGCGGTTGATTTAAAGATAAACGGGACTGATTTCCAGGCCTTGATGGAAACAGCTGTCTCTAGGAGTTACATTTCTTTTTCAGTAGTACTTCAAAACAAATGCGAAATTCATGGATCTCGCACTATGATATCCGTGGCTATTACCGCCCCAACCAGCGCCAGGCGAGGAAACGTTCTAGTCTCCATTAAATATAAAGGCACCATTTATGAACTGGTCAAGCTATCGGTCTTACCGGATTTTTGTGTCGATGTTCTACTTAGCTATGACTTTCGTCGGCTCTATGAAAGTTGGAATTACTTTTGATAGACCTAAACCTGTGTCTTTACCGCGTCTTGTTTCTTTCACTTGCGTCGAGCCTCCTGGCTCCTTTCCTAATCTATCAATGACTGCAAGTCTAACGCGACGTAATCTCGTACGCACACTAACGTGGATGAGGGATTTGTACGATAAATTATTCGTCTTCTGTCTGAGGGAGTACTTGAGCCCTCCTCATCCCAATGGTCGGCCTACGTTCTGTGGTAGCAAATTAAACCCACGGAAAGCGGGTGGTTGTTGGTCGTGGCCTTTTGTTACTCTGCAGATCTGATGACGAATAGTCGAGAGCGAACGTTTGCCGAAATGGACTCCTTAGATGCTTACATGGGTTCCATCGCTGAACTTAAACCATCCAAGGATATAACTTGTGTAGGACCCAGAAAACCTTGTTATTTTGGTTTACGTAAGTTATGATAGAAATATCCGCATGAAGGCATGCATGAAATAGGTAAAAATTTTGCATCGAGCCTGTGATGAAACCTGGGGGCTTACGGCGATTCCTACGCCGCGTATTACGTTTTGCGATACGGGGTGATAAAGGTACGAATTTACCAAGTGTCCGCTTGCGTGTGCGGAAGAACCGGTTGACTGTTTTATTAAAACCAATGCGATTTCGGAACTTTTTCCTGATCGGGTAGCCATTGACCATTTTCGAATACTTTCTGGCTACTTATCGCCCAGCTATAGACCCGGCTTCCGGTAGGGAGGAAACGTAGCACATGATGAAAATCGGGTTTTCGGTTAAGAATAAGACAGAATACTCTTAATAGCAAGGTAAACCACGCGGAAATTATTTATTTGACCTAATACAAGTCCGGTGATAAGAAAAACTCCCTCCAACATGTTGCATGGAGAATGCTTATGGGGGATAGAGAGAGAGAGAGGAATGCTTTATTTTGAAAATAACATTCAAAACCCTATAAGGTATTCCTGCTCCACCTTTTACATGGCCACTGAGTAGCTAATTTAGTCAGAAAAGCATGTATTAAGCGAAGTACAATGACCGTCTGGAAGATTATTATTAATGCTGCTGAACGCGATAGATAAGTAGGTAAATTCGCGATCACTGGTAATACTGCTTTTATATGCTGACACTACAGATACCAGTACACCCGATTCTTCCCTGAGCAAACTTTGCCGATATGCCAGAGATAAACGAATAATGGAGGCACATATAGGATAAAACCACTGTGTTAATTAACAAGAACATATTGTTTCAAAATAACAGTAGGAAGTGGGATTACGCTATGTCAAAAAATTAGAAACATGAAGAGGAGTGGTTCTAGATTAGCATCTGTTAATGTCGTAATAACTTATGAAAACTTTTGTCTTCGTTTAATCATGAACGACTTATCCAACATGTTTTATTTTACCAAGTGTCAATCGTCTGTTCTCAACTAAATAGTTTGATCAGCATGCCTACACATCGCGAAGTATTTCGCAGATGCGAGTTCCGTTGCTCTGGCCTACAATCAAACAATACTTTATAGGAAACCATCAGTCGCGCCCACGGGCAGGTCCAGCCCCCCTAAAACGTTCGGTTGAATATCAGCTAGGATGTTCTTTTGTCAGGCACTCACTCGTGTCTGTGTTTTCTTTCGGCTGGTTCATTTCGCGTTTGTAGTCCCCTTGGCGTGGTAACAAGGCAGCCTTCGAGGAGTAGGCCACTTTGGCCGGAAAATTCCTCCTGTTATCAACAATCAAAACGGCTACCCCCTAAGGTAAAATCCTACTTTTCGTGGTATTGCGATGATCAATAAGTCAACGGCATTCGGCATCAATTCTACACGTTTTACTTTAAATATGATTAATCCCGCTATTTCGATCTTGCTTCATACAAATGCGCCGTCCAGAACCGCTTTGCCTGAGAATCTTTCGAGTTTCATAAGGCGATATCAGAAAACGTCACCTCTTTCTCGTTCTCTTATACACTGTGGCATTCCCAGGCGTTCTGTACTCGTGATAGAGGTGCAAAGACCCGTTGCAACAGTCGATTCGACGTGAAACCCATGAGGAAATGTCGTGACCTAAGCACAATTTCAGTAGATAAACTGATGTCAAACATGGGAATACTTCAGTAGATGGCTCCCACTGATAGTCTTACGCAAGAAAAACCCAAATCCCTAGGAGGGCGCCGTCAAACTTCGAGACCAGATTAATAACAGTTTGAACAAACGCGTATTAGCATGCGATTTGGTTACATCGTTAGATGGTCTGAAGAAGTTAATCTCGTGTGCGAAGGCGATAGCTACATGACCTTTCTTGACCAGGGGTTAAGCTGACGGCCACTTCTCTGTCTTAGGATGCGAATACCCATGATAAACAGAGAGAGGTCTATCCCTGCCAAGGACTTATCGAGAATGTGAAAGCTTGGTGCATATGACTGTGTCGAGAGACAATAAAAAAAGGCTAGCGCCGAAAGAGTTCTTTGACCGCTCATTTTGATACGTTTATTCAGTTAAGTGACGGGCCATTAGGACCGTCAGCAGTTATAGTCGGTTGTCTGAAGGACAAACCGAATTCTATAAGTAGTTCGTCTATTTGCTTTAATGGGTTACATCTGGAGGTCTCGTAGGCATTTGCGTAGATACTGGTGACAAATGCAGTAAGGAGCGCCGACAAAGACATGGGCGATTGGAATGGCTATTTCTGTTTAACCCCAGACTTGGATAAGCTGGGATACAGACTCGAACCATGTGGTAATTAAATACCAAGTGCAACGCTCTAACATAGAGACGGTCTCATTGTCCTTCCAGTTGCGATTAAAGATATTTACTGTGGTGGGAAGATCGCCCACCGACGAGGATATAGGATTTACCCGTGGAGAGGGTTTTCAGGCTATCTGAGATAGTCTGAAAACCTCTAACATTAATAATAAACCATGGTCCATTGTGAATGTGAGAGAGAAAATTCATCCCAAATTTACGGATTTTTCAAAGGTCCTAGGGCTAACCAACTTCGTCGGCGCCAACCTACAATTGTGGGTGACCCGTTATACAAGTGCGAGCGGCAGATTTCTCAGTGAGCCCTAATAGCAATGACTTGCGAATCGAGTTAACTTGACACGTCCTTCATAAAATATACGAACGCGGCCAAATAAGAAGATTTTTGGGGAGCAAAAGACCACTGGCACAGCTGGGAAAGACATGGAAAATAAGACACATCTTCGCCATCCATATAATTCCGAAAATGCATCTTAAACAAGGTCTCACATTAAAAGGCATACGGGAGAACTATCGCACTACCGCCAGAATCTCAGCTCAGTAGAATCAGTCACGAGCAAACGAGAAATATTGCCTTGACGTTTTCTGTTGAAATTGTGTAGCTAACGTGCTCAAAGAAATAAAAATAAGTCCGATTGAATATTGGGACGACGGAAAAAGTTCAAGTAGCGAGAGCCAAAAAGGCTAACGAGCTAAACTGGGAAGTGTTGAGAATTACAAGGGAACGAAAAAGTGAAAAATTGAGATGAGGGACTGAAAGTAATTGAACGGAGAAACTGCATGACATGGAAGGGGAAACAGATGAGATTGGCGAGGTATGGAAGGCCAAGGAAAATAAGCACACAGTACGAAAGGGTTGGAAAAGCCAAACAGCGATGACTTTTCAGATAGTCAAATTCTAAACATCGGTATACATCATGCGGAGAGCTGGCTTGTGTTATTGTCCTTGTGCTGAGTAAGCTGGCCTTAGGTCTTCTCTGGTGTATATCTCCTAATTCCTCCCTTCATCTTGGCAGTGGACCTTGCTGACTTTAAAAAGGGATTTGCAAGTTTGATCAAATTCTTTTGCATTTATGGGTCGGATCAATTTTTTCGATTACCTGTTCGCAGGTGTAATAGAGCATTATGTCAACAACTTTTTTGTAAGTTGCATTGATTTCAGTCTTGAGTATCCTTTATAGATTATTTTAAAAACTGCGTTTGTTAGCATATCAAAAAATATTTTCCCAATCGTCGATGCACACGAAAACGTGGTTTCCACAAAAGCCGTTGAGAAGCTGTGATATGTGAAACAAGAATTTTATACGCCTCAAGTTGCCCTTTTTTGCCCCAACCCGTGGTTGAAGATGCACACAGACAAGGGCGGCAAACTCACTGGAATTCCAGCAATTATAGGGTGCTGTTGCTATGCAAATCTATACCTTCCATAATTATCAGCTAAGGCATGTATCACCGGTGGTCGTAATTGTACGATAATTGCTTGCTTATCTGTACTCGAGTTTCTAACTGCCATCCTTTCATCAGCATTGTGGACTGTTGCCGTGGGATTTAGCCGTTAACTCAACTCGTTGAAACAAACGCCCGAAACGATACCAGTCTGCCCGCTCCTAACGTGACTAACTTATCCAAGAAGGCAAGGTTTATGCGTTTAATGTAAGAGTGGAAGCCCTTATGCATGTCCCGTCACCAATCAAGTACAACCGATTGTTATGAGTATAGTTATGTATAGGTGTTCTCACAATACTTTCAGATGCGGCCATAATAATTTTGGTTGAGATTTAGGCGCACCTGGTGGTCTGTTTTCGTAGATTATCCGACTCATTCGCACCGAAAGTGAACTGTTTTCTTATTCCTGATAACTTCAAAAGCTGCCAAGAGAATCAGCCTACGACCTCGGTAACCAGGCCGGTTTCATTTAGCAGTCCGTCAGTGAATTACCTATGTTAACCCTGGTCTAACCATGCAGCTTTTTAACCACTGCTGTGACTCCAAAATAATTCATAATATTTTATCTAATTTGTTCACATGGACATCTAAGTGAGGAGCTAACCGTGTCACATATCAAACACATCTTCCTTTTTATGCTAAGTAAAATAATTTCGTCAACTTTTCGAAACGGCACTCCAACGCTAATTTTTGCAAATGACTACCGTTTTCATCAATAGTAGTAAGCATGCAATACCCAGATAACATGTCAAAAGATGAAGCGCCTTTCACTGGGACAGATTAATTCTTGGTCTGGCGTTCCGGGTAGCGGTTTAAACTGCCGCTTTTCAGAGACTGGAGAGTCCCGTTTACAACTCTCATTATATGCCATGGATCCACAATGCCAACTGTGGGTCTGGATCAGATCTCCGTTCAATCGTAGCCGGCGTTGATCCGCCCTTGTAAACCACAGTGATTATTTGTGGCTCATTATTTCCTTCATTATTTCCTGTCAAAACATTCGCAAAGCACATATGGGAAGGCAAGTTTATGTTGTGGCAGTTGATGAACAACCGTGATTTCTACCTCTGCCGTGCAGTGCAATCTTCGCCTCGGCCCACAACCTCGACGGAATCTAATGTAAAAAATATGTTTCACCTGAGCCGGTCTTACTAAGGTAATCACAATTCCTGCAACTGCAATAAAGTCTGTAGACGTTGCCCGACTTCCCTTTAGGGATTGAGCCTTTTGGCTGCAGAATTTACCGGCGAATCGTTGAATCAGATTTATGAGCAGCACCTAATACGAATGGCCCATAGAATCTAGCCACAACCTCGGAGACACTTCCCTGTATGAAATGCTCTGCATGACCTCGGTTGACTGACCTCTCAATTCCACCTTCTTTATGACAACCAACTCCGCTTGATTGGTGTCTTTGGGTTGTCGTTGGTTCTAAGGAGCTGCGCAAGAAGACTTATCTGATGCTGTTTGGGGACTGCCGTGCTATTATGTGTTTACATCTCTCGGTAAAGCGTGCGTACATGGGCCACTATGCATTTAACGGGTTTTTGTCTCTGTGACCGAACATTCCCAGCCGTTCGCCGGTTTTGTTTACACTGACTTCGTCAACTATCAGTCCGGTTGGCGTAAGACAAAAGCATCAAAGAGTGAAGTTTGCCTTCTTATTCATCTTCTCTTGATTACAAATGATCGAGTTTTATCGTTCCTTTTGGTAACCTATCATCAGCCAGTCGCTTGTGACGGGAGTTCCATTTGCGTAGTGAGCCCTAAGTCTTTATTTGTTCTTCTCGAACAGCCAAAGCAATGATCACCGTGTCTGGTAAATCCATCGAGGTGCCCTTCGTGCACTCGTGCGCGATCTTCCAGAAAGTGATACTTTCTTGAGACAGTGCCCATGAGCTCCATGAGATAATGAGCGGTGGTTTGGACATCATTCTTGTTTTAATTCAAATACAGAGGGCTGTTGAAATTTTTAACGCAAAGACTTATGATATAGACGTGAAGAATGAAGTGGTACCGTGATAGCTTCAAGCGCGTCAGATTTTTTATAGTGAGACGAATGCGTTGAGTCGTCGACCTCACTCTCCCTACCCAGTCCCATGCCCTAGCCATTGTCCGAGCCCGTCGGCAGACTGGAGGAGGGAATGGGCACGGTGACTGACGTCGTCTACTGACCATGTCTGCGCGCGCCACTTGCACGATCTGGCTCGCCAAACACAAGCGCAAGGATTTCACACAACGGAGGTTGAGCGGCGTATCTCTCGCTTGCGTGAGAGGGCCGTTGAAGGAGCTGTTTCAGCCCGGCTCCCAGCCCACCAGTCCGCCACTCCACCCAACCGCACATACACAATTGGACGGACTGTGTGGACTGAGTTGGAGCGTCTGTCAGCAGCCCTCAAATCAGCGGCGATTGACATGTCGGGACAATCTCAGGCTCGAGTCACGCATGCGACAGGAGCCGCACGGAGACCGAGTCGAGACGCATACTTCCCACTTGTGTGGGAGGGGGCCGTTGGGTGCTTGCGGTGGGTGATGCTGATGTGTGGTGAGATGGTGGTGAGGAAGAATGTCGTGGTGTGGTGCAGCCGGCGGTTGTCTACCTCAGGTTTTCGTAGACGTGCATGCGGCCGAATAGGCCCATGCGGTGCAGGAGAGTGCGAGGGCAGTGTGGTGAGTGGAGGCGGATGCGGCGGGTGTAGGTTGGTGCCTCAGGCACTAGTTCGACAGCATCTGTGCCATAGATTCGCAAGTGACAGACCAAACCGAAGCGTGAGGTGAATGTGCGGTCGCAGTGAGGACAGGTGTATTCCAGATCCTCAACTCTGGTGTCGACGGTGGTAGTGTTGGTGCGGCAGGATTATGTGTAGTGTTGATGTGCATGCCAAATGACACAAAGTCAGACGATGCGGTGGCGTTGGAGGAGGAGGAGGAGGAGGAGGAGGAGGAGGAGGAGGAGGAAGAGGAGGAGGATGGAAGTGGGGGTTCAGGAAGGCGGTCCGAATTACTTGACGGCATAGAGAACGGGGAAGAGGTGGACGAAAGGACGACGGTTAGTTCGGTCCGAGTGGTGCAGTTGATCCGAAGGTGTTTAACAAGTCCATTTCGCTCCCGGAATGTCCACTGACATCGTGGGCACGTCGGGGGCAGTTGTGCGTTGGCAGTGCCCAGTGGACGCAACTGATACTTGCGTGCTTCGTGTTTGGCCTTCGCCTCGCTAATGCGGTTGGCTTCGTAGATCGCAGTGCTCGTCTTCACCGTCCTCCTTCATGTCGGTCGGTCTCGGACGAGGTCTTCCCAGTTGGGCGGATCGATTTGCAGACAATTCAGGGAGGACTTAAGGGTATCCTTGTAACGGCGAATCTGGCCTCCTTGACGGCAAGAACCCGTGGCGACGTCTCCACAGAAGAGATGTTTGGGTGGCCGCTCGTCGTCCATGCGCACCAGATGGCCGCTGCAACGTAACTGCAGTTGTCTCAGCATGCGTAGATGCTGAGGATTTCCATCCGTTCCGGTACATCGGTGTCTGGGATTCGGTCCTGCCGCCTAAACTTCAGTATCCGGCGAAGACAAATGAAGTGGAATAGATTGAGTCTGCGTTCCTCCTTCGTGTACACTGTCCAAGTCTCTGCTCCATACAGCAACGTCGGGAGGATGACGGCCTGCTACATCTTCAGCTTCGCGATGAGCTGGAGACCGTGGCCATTCCAAACTGTTCTTTGAAGACGGTCAAATGCCTGGCTGGCCTTCGAAATCCGGCGAGCTCCTTCGTCGTTGATGTTCGTTCTGCGGGAGAGCGTACTGCCTAGATACGGAAGTTATCCACCATTTGCGGATGGGTTCCGCTCACGCTGCTCTGCGGCGCGTTGTGGGGAGGGGCTGTGTTGGGTGGCGGTTGGTGCGTGACCACCGTCTTCTCCGTGTTTATGACCAGACCGATTTCTCGCAGAATGCGGAGAAGAGGTCCATGTTCCATTGCATGTCCTCTTCTGAGATGGTGTTGAGGACGCAGTCGTAGATGAAGAAAGGTTCGTGAACGGTGCTTGTGGATACACGTGACTTTTCGCGCATCCGCTGTTAACTGAGAGGTTGGCAGTCCGTCCTGTAGGCGATGCGGATCTCGGGCGTCCATCACGGTAGGCATCCATCAGCATGACAGGGAACATAAGATTGAAGAGTGTGGGTGCCAGGACGCATATCTGATTCAATCCGTTGGTCACTGCGTATGCCTCTGAGACAGCACCGTTGTCCGTGACTCGCGCCATCATGCCGTCGTGGACCTGACGTTCCATCTGAGTGAATCTCTCTGGACAGCTGAATTTCTGCATGATCGTCCACAGTCCTTAACGATTCACTGTGTTGACGACTTTCGTAAACTCCACGAAGGTAGAGTACAGGTGGGTCCGCATCTCCTGGCACTTCTCCTGTAGTTAACGTGCGATGAAGATCATATCCAAGATCCCGCGATGACGGCGGAAACCACACTGGCCTTCCGGAAGAAAGCCCTGTTCCAGATGATTATTCAGAAGATTGAGGAGGATGCGAGGAAAGATTTTCCTGGCGATATCATGCAAGGATATACCTCGATGATTGTCGCAGAGCTGGCCGTTTGCTTTTCGCTTGTATAGATGCACGATTGTGGTGTCTTTGAAATTCTGTGAGAATTCTCCTTGACGCCAAATTTCCTGGAAGAATGCAGTCAGATGATCTATGAGTTGGAGGCCGTCGTGCTTGTAAACCTCAGCAGGGATGGCGTCCGATCCACGTGCCTTCCCGCTGGAGAGCTGCTGCACGGCCCTGGTGGTTTCATGGAGAGAGGGCGGGAGGTCTAGGTCAACGTCGGTCTTCACTTGCAGCAGACGGGCGATGGCGGCATCGGAGACGGCGAAGGGACGGTTGAGGACGCCTCAGGAGTACTAAGCTCACCCTTGTAGAATTTGTGTCTTCTCACTGAGGAGGGTGACGCCGTCCGCGCTGAGAAGAGGAGCAGTGCCTTTGGTTGGTGGACCACAGACAGCTTTGATCGCGGAGAAGAAGCTCTTCCATTTGTTGCGGTCCGCGTTCCCTTGGATCTCCGCAGCCTTGCCAGCCGTCCAGGCGTCCTGAATCTCGCGCATTCGCTGTTGAACGAGATGACGACTAAGTAAAATGCGGCTCTGTTGTTGTCAGTGGGGTGGTCGATGTAGGCTTTGTGCAGACGCTTCTTCTCGACGAGCAGCTAACTGGTGGCGGCGTCGTTGTCATCGAATCAGTCTTGGTGTTGGCCGTGTGCGCGACTAGGATGGCCTGCGGTGTCGACTGGACTGTGTTCCGCAGTTTATACCATCGATTCCCTGCGGACGCGTTCTCGTCCGCGTCAGCGGCGGCGGCGGCGGCAGTGACAGGAAGATTGTCTTGCCGTTGAGCTAGCTCGTTGTTGAAATGGACATGGTCAGCAGGCAGAGCCAACAAGGCAATATTCAGCTTACCTGGGGGTCACTTGCCTTGTGATCGTTGATGTCCTGCGGCAAACAGGGCGGTCGTCCCAAGAGGTCGTTCCGGATGGCAAAGGCAACACCTGCGTCTCGTTGCTCTGCCTTGAGGCGACCGCTCCAGAAGAAGGTTAGCTGGCACCCACTTCACCCAGTTGACCTTGTTCAGAGAACCGGGTCCTGCTGATTGCTGCGATGTCAACCTTGTAGAGCGCCAGTTCCGGAGTCACGGGCGCGGTCCTCCGTTCGGTCGGTTGCTCCTCTGATTGTCTAAAAGGGAACGAACATTCCAGGCTGCCAGAGTGAGCGAACTCACCCTGTCAGTCTGGAGGCGAGCGGAACGGCGGGGAGGAGGAGGAGGAGGAGGACATGATGATGATGATGATGATGATGATGATGATGATGATGATGATGATGATGATGATGATGATGATGATGACAGAAAATAAGGAGAGGAAGAAAATGAAGAGGAGGAGGAGGAGGAGGAGGAGGAGGAAGTAGAAGAAGAATAAGAAGAATAAGACGAAGGAGAAGAAGAAGAAGAAGAAGAAGGGGGAGGAAAAGAGAGAGTATTGTTGCTGTCGCTGCTGTTGTTGTCGTTGTTTCAATTATGGTTGTTTCGATCGTAAGTTTAGCGTCTTCGACCATGGTCAGCCTGCAGACGACGTGATTCCCCAGCAATCTTTTTCTGGCCCCTCTCCGAAGGCGGGCAGTGCCCCCCTCAATACGGCTGCTTGGTTGTGCCGGCGCGGCCAAACTCCACTATGGGTCACGACTTTTGATGTAGCGGAGGAACGACTCGAATTTGCTAAAGAACACACGGCGTCGCCGTAAACTCGAGGCCTCCTGCAATGCTCCAGACGGAGTCTCGTCTTGACGATGCCCATGCGAAGTCTCATCCGACCAGCCGACCACCGGCGTAACACACGGAGCCTCGTTTCGACGGTACCGATGCGGAGTTTCATCCGACCGACAGCCGAGCGGAGTCCACGATGCCGTTACTGGGATGTGGCCGCTCGGCGGAGCCTAGCTTCAGGAGGCCACACGTGAGACTTGAGTGCCAGAAAATGGACGCTGGGCGTAGTCTGCACCTGCAAGCAAGTAAGTGACCTACTACGACCGTCACGTGAACCCACCACTGGGCACTCCAACACCTCATCATCGCGTTTTCTGGACTCCCTGTTTCATCAGGGTACAAGATGACCAACTTTTCGCTAGTGTCTCCGAGAAACAAATTTTAGTTGCTACGAACATTTCTTATTCCTCCCCTCAGTCTTTTTTCCATCTGTTTATAATGGCCGAAGTACCTTCCAATGCCTACCAGAATATATTTCATTAATTTAACATTATCGCAGTCAAGTAGCATCGTACAAACGCATCTTAAATCCGCAAATCTTCGATTCGAATAACTATTGGAACACGAAATATAAGGGGAGGGGGTGGAAGTGTGTACCGCAGAGTGCTGAATGAGGGGCCTGGAGCAGTAGACAAGGTATTTCCATGTAAACGCTACTCACACAGACGGCTATTATTAACAAAAATGTTAACAAGAAATGTCGAGTGTTAGAATTGCAGAAAAGGTTAAGGTCAATGTTTTTTTCGATTCCAGCCTACGTCAGCATCTGCGCAGTATGACAAAGCTGAAGATATGTGAGTACATATTTAGGAAGATCCTGTGAATTCGGGGGAAGCCGTTTCAATAATGTAACCCATTCTCAGAAGTGGCGAAGTTTTTTATAATAGTTCACATTTCTTTTTAGTAGATGTCATTGTAGACTACAAGAATAATAATTTGTCCCACGGTGTTAGCCCTCAGGAATGCCACTGTTATGGTCCTACCATTGGTGAAATCGGTGCCTTATTTCATGCTTGGGTCACTGCGATAGCCAAAACTTTCCAAATATTTCTAAGGGGCCTTAGGCCAACGTGGCGGTTAACGAGTCCCCGGTGTGCTTGGCATGCCAATCGCATTTTTCAGTGCTCAAGCTCAAGTACGTAGGCGTCGTCCTCACTCTCGTGGTAATTCAACTCCATTGCAAAGGCATCCTCCACAAAACTCAATCATAAACTTTTAGAATTTAATAAAACAGCTTATTTAGTGGAATGCCACATCCCACAATTTTCATAGGAACATTAAAAATCTTTGTTGGAAGGTCTGATCTGCATGACGCTGTCCAAAAAACACCTCTTGATCCCTGCAAAGATTTTGACCCACGATCAACCACCTGCAGAAAACGCTCAATTTGTCACTCCGTAAACAGCGGCGATTTGGGTAGTAATTCTACTTTTTAGATGCACTTATCTAGTGCCTTGCTACTTGAACTGCCGGTCTGCAGTGGGATTTCCAATAAGGATGTTTTAAGCTAATGCCTGTGAAGAACCCATTCGGGATACTTCTGGTACACTACTTTGTGTGTGTCGACGACTTCCAAATCATAAATTCAACACAAGACCGTGCGCTTATGGCAGGAAACCTTGACTGGTGTCGGCTATCAGACTAACTAACAGGATAAATTAGAATATACGCACAAAAGTTCTGAGTTATTTAGTGGATGTCGACTCTCGATATCTAAATGCGTTAATGAGCAACATCGGAAAACTGGTTCATTCTACATGCCATTCCTGCAGATTCGACAATCGTTACCATTGACGAAGTAGGGACGATAGAAAAGCCTTGCTCATTCTTGAGGAGGCAGACAATGGACCTTGTCTCATTCAATAAAGTGATGGAATGTCGATGGACAAAATTATTCGTCCTTTATACAGACTCCGTTCGGCTACATCTCCACACTTGCTTACGAACATTGTGCGTGTACACAGTTCATTATACCGAGGCTCTTAAATAAAATTCGTTGTCATGCCTCAGAGCTTCTTATTCCTTCAGAAACCTGCAAATGTAGACTACCTTAAAGACTCCACCTACCAGCTGTGCACTAAAAAGGCTACTCCTCGGTCCCATCGAATCATGCAATGTACTCCACAGGACTGAAGGTGGAGGGATGCATTTATTAGTCTTAAATAACCACAACTTATATGCCATGTAAACGACGAAGGAATTTAAGAGACGGAACAGTCCTGTGTGGAAGCCGAAACAGACCCAAGAAACTGGAACCGGCCAGTTAGAATTTATAAATAAATAAAATATTTCATTAAAGACCCCTCGTTGTGGGGGCAAAACAAGTAAAAATAAATTTCCATATCAATTTTAGGCGAGGTATGAAGAATCAGTACAAAATGGAATTCATAGTTTCTGAATTAATAGTCCGTTCTGAAAAGTTATGAACGAGCAGTGAAAAACTCCACTCAAGAATTTAAAAAAATGACCGGATTAACTTTACAGGAGAAAAAAGGCTGTTGCTCATGAAAGGAAAAAAATGAGGACAGGACTGGCCTGCATGTGGTGTAAAACGGATAATAATCGGACATAGTCAGGGCAGAAATATATGTCAGCCTTGAGGGGTACGTATGCGGGTCGGACAAGACTGGCCTGCATGTGGCATTGTATAAGGGATTCGAAACAGACATCGTCAGGGCAGAATTGATACACTGGATGAGACTATTTGCGTCAAAGTGGCCAGACGAGAGGAACCTAGACGCGATCGGTCACAGTGCATTTCGAGCATGAGGTCGAAATGAGGCGATGACATCAAAAACCGCGAAAATCGTCGCTACGGGGAAGGAGTGATAGCATTGGATTCAGTAACCAATTCAAAACAGGGGGTTGTAAAGATAAAAATGAGGGTTTCCACTTGATCTACCAACCAAATCTCAGCAGGATCCTTCTCGACGTCAAGAAGCTGAGTGCCCCGGAATGAGACCGTTCAAAGTGACTTTATACTTTCCCGTTTAAGGTGTTTGCGTAATTTCGACTTGAATACCAGTAACTTAGGCGATGGCCTAATTTCTGCTGGAAGATTATTCTAACGGAAGGCATATTTGGGAACAAAGAAGAGGGAGCGTTTAAATGTAGTGCAAAGAGGCGGCGGAATTAGCATGGAGGAGTTGCGCGTGACATACGACCGATCTCTCGGAGTGAGAATGTCAGTGCGCGGAAGACTAGAGCTAGAGTTAATACGAAACAGGGAACAAATGCCAGCATCGAGTCTTCTAACCCACAAAATTTAATGTTCGCCAGATGACATCTCTTAGTATAAGAAATGCTGGATGAGACTTGAGAGAACAGTTTCCGAGTAAAAACCCTCTGAACATCTTCGATTTTATTAAGGTCACAGGCGTTCATTAAACCAAGGAAAGGACAGCAGTGCTCGAGGACAGGAAGAACAACCATTTGATGAAATCTTAGCTTCATTTCCAGAAGGCCAAAATTATGCGATATGAGCTCACATATCTGCGAGACTTTGTTAGAGATTCTATCTGCATGAGCTGATAAGGCAAGTTTATTTGTATAAGTCAAACCTAGGTCCTTTATGGTGAAGCATTCTGAGAGTGGGTTATTCTGAAAAATTATGGAGCCAGGAAGTTTGGTAGAACCAAAAGACATGAAACTACACTTGTATGATGAAAACACCATATGCCACGTTGAACCCCATCTGCTTAAGTGTAGTAAATTGACATTAATTTTTTCAACACAAACATTTACGGTGTCCTTAAAATATGGGTAAACGTACTTGAGATCATCGGCATAAGTAAAAGTTTGCAAATTTCCGAGTTCAGTCGAAATATCATTGATTTAAAGAAGGAAGAGTAGCGGACCCAGAACTCTGCCTTTAATTACACCACTCGTGATCGAGTGAGGTGTTGAGCAGCTATTACAAACCATGACTTTCTGATATCGGCTGTGTGGATATAATGCGCTGGGGTCGAATAGAGTCGGCCAGATGCCGAGAGCTTCCAATTTTGCCAAAAGATTTCTATGGGGCGCCTTGTCGAAGGCTTTGCTAAGGTCAAAGTAGATAACTACCACCGAATGTTGTTCATTACGAAGAGAAGTGATAAGATTAAGAAAGCTCAATTTACAGGTTTCGCAGGATCAATCAAGTAAAAATCCATGCTGTTTAGAGCACAGACGCTGGTTAGCTAGGTAGAAGTCACGGATTTCATTGAAAATAATCATTTCAAGAAGTTTTGTTAGAGACGGTGTTTTGTGCACGTTCCGATAGTTATTAACATCGGAACGAAATCTAGACTTGAAGACAGGGACGATAATTGACGTTTTCCATGTTTCAGGAAAGAATCCGTTTGAAATATAAACCGATAATAAATGACTAAGCAATATGGGAAGGTCGGATCCCTGTCTAATAATCGAATTTGAAATCCCGTCCGTTCCTGAGCAGTTTGAGTTTTTCAAACGACTTATGTGCTTCTTAATGAGATCTGAGGAGACCTCGATTGTACTCAGTGCCCTATCTGAAAGTGAACGAAAGAAATGGACAGGTTCGGACTTAGTAGTAAGGTATTTTGCAAAGAAAGCACTGAACAACCCCGCCTTGTCACTGTCATCAATAAGGAAGATTAGAAGGGGTGGAATTTCGTGACCACGCTTAGAGGAGGACCTATGCCGGAAAATGTTAGCGACGGATTTGCCAGGGTTCGGAACACAGACAGCAAGTGATTCTCTTTGCCTGTCGCGCGCTTGACAACTCCTTGAGGCTACTTCGACAATCTCTGTGGTTCTAAGATGAGCGGAT